ATATTTGCGCTCGATAATTTATATTTGGGCAGAGAAGATTAAACCATGAAAGAATATGTATCTAATACTTGGTTTTTTTTCACGGGTTAATACTTGAATTGCACGGTTGTAAAAGTAAGCTTACTTTGGTGCGTCTAGTCTTCCGAGAATCATCCAGCACAGATGTTGATCACCTTCAAGGATTGTGATCTGACCTCCACTTTGTGAATAAATTTTGAATATTTCATGCAATTGTTTTTATAAATATTTCAATGATTCAACACAATTAAGAGGCCTCCCTAATCCTCAAGGGTTTGAGGAACAAGAATTACAATCTAGAACAAACACGTCACATTGGGGTCCGTACTTCTTATGATTTATCTTACATTTCCTCCTCTACTTCGGCCACTCGACAAGATCTGGGGACAGCGATGTCAAAGTGAGTATGGTGACCTGAGTGCCGAGCCAAGCGATGGATTGATTTTATTACAAGCGACACGGAGAGGCATATGAAATTTTTTGTTTGTTTTAGATTTTTTTTTGAGAAATTGTTTGTTGCAGATGAGAGCCTTTTTTCTAGAATTAGATGAGTGATTTTTTTAGAAATAATTAGATTTTTTAGGGGGTAGAAATAATTAGATGTGGCCATGAGGGTCGATCGATTTAGCTTTTTTTTAGGGGTGGTCGATCGATTTAGCTGCCGCCCTGGCTGTCTCGCTCTCGCTGCTAAGATTGGGCCTCGCGCTGGTTCGATTTGTATTTGAGGGATTCGCCCTGGCTTGCTTTTTTTTTTTTGAGTGGTATTCGTACTGGCTAGCTGCATCGCGCCGTAGGTAGTTGTTGATTGGGCCGGCTTGTTGTACCAGTGTCCAGGTAATGAAATTACGGGGTGTCCCAGCCGTATATGGGCTATACATGTATAGGTAAAACATTTTTCTACCCGGTGTCCTGTGACACCCCCTGGCCCAACGTGGGTACGCCCTGGGATAAGATGTGTGTTGATAGCTTCGTCAATCTCAAAATGTTATGCCAGCTCAGACTCTCGAAGATGCTCATAGGGATAAAGTGTGTGTTCATGCGTGTGTGCGTGGGTTTATAGGGATGAATGTATATACGAATGTCTGTGTCTGTACTGTGTTTAGGAAAAAAAAGTCAAACTCGGTGCACCCACCGAATATTTGTTCCGGCCGGGTCCGCCCACCGCTCCACAAGTGTGACGCAAGAGGCCGTGACGTGCCGAAACCGAGCGAAGGAACGCGCCGCTCACCGTGCCACCACAAACAAAGCTGGTACGAAACTCCCGAACGCGCCGCCCGCGATTTGGTCTCCAAAATTCGCAATTCGCCGTTGCTCTCTCTCTCGCTCGCTTAGGGTTTCGTTTCCAAACTCCCCCCGGTCTCGTATTTAAACCGGACTCCCCTCCCGATTCGATTTCCTACTCCGGCTTCTGCGCCGTCACCTTTCTCACCCACACCACAGCCAAACATACATTTTTAATCTTGTTCGCAAACAAAGAATTTTTCCCATCATCAGAAATCAGAAACCAAATCCACCGAACCGAGCGAGGAGGAGGAGCCGGCCCCCTCTCTGCCCGCCGGGTCCCCCGTCCCGTCCCTGCCTCTCGACGAAAACGAGGTGAGCGCCACCCCCCTCCCTCCCCCTCTCCGCCCGCTGCTCGCTCTCCCTCTCTACTTGCGCGCAAAAATTGGGCGACGCGTTCAAAACCGCCCGCGCGATTCTCGCCTGGTTCGCTCGCCGCCGCCGGCCGCCGTCGCCGCGGAAGTGGGATTCCCGCAACTTCCGGTGGGTTGGGTTGGGTTTGGTTCGGGACACTTGCTTCGGGACGAAAGGCCTCTTTTTCTACATACAGGGGAAGACAGAGATACCGGCCGGCGTCTTCGAGCACCGGCGCGAATCGGCGGCGGGCGCGGGGGTTCCGGGGCTCTCCTATCCGGTTCGTGGACCGATGGCGATCGCGTAGGCTCCGCCGCCACGCCCGGCGGCGCCGCTTTGGGTGGGTGCATTGGTTCAAGCCTGGGGTTTGGGTGCGCTTCTCCGTGGGTTGGTTGGTTGGTTGCCGTTCCCAGGTTGGACTCCGATTTGTTTCGTGTGCGCGCTCTACACATACATACACGGGTTGGAATCGTCGTTTCCTGTGCGCTCTACACATACGCGGGTTGGAACCTCCGTTTCCTCCCCGTGATTGGAAGCGGCGCCGCACATTGCCACGTTCGTGTTCCTGACTTGTTCTTGGGGGTAAACGCTTGATCGATTTTTTTTTCTTGGTGGTATGTAGGTTTAAGTAGAATCTCCCTGTGATGATTGGAGAGTGTTCTTCCCATTAGTGTTTAGCATTGGTTTGACATGATTACTGTTCATCTTCAGTTTTATGACTGATTAAGCATCAGCTTTATAAACGTTTAACGGCGATTAACTCGCAGGATGGCGTGAGAGCGGAGCGCTGCTCCTTTTTTTTCTTGAGATATGCTTTGCTTGATCAAGTTTGGCTTGGTCTGTAGTTCGCTGTATTTGGGTGGGATCTTTCTGACATGATTGGAGAGTGTTCTGCCCATTACTGTTACAATTGCTTGGGCATGATTACTGTTTAGCTTATAGTTTATAATTGAGAGTGCTAGACTGCAAGGTTCAGATTAAGTATCAACCTTGGAACAACAAACCGATATTAACTAACCCAATGGCGTACACCGAAGCGCTGATGCTTCTGCATGCTGTGAGTTGTTCAGGACATTTTAAACGACAAATTGCCTTGTGCGTAGTTTTCGTACTAGAATCCCTCTAGGATGATTGGAGAGTGTGCTCTCTTTATTGTTTAGCATGGCTTTGATACGATTACTGTCTAGATTTCCGTAATGATTGAAACTAGTTAAATTGGACTAGGGGTTTAAGGGTACAGATCAAGTATGAACTACTGGGATAGTAAGCAATCAACTATTGACTCACTAGATGGTGCAAAATGTGGCTTCTTTTGATTTGTTTGATTAATTTTATTCAGTAACACAAAGGTGCAAGTGTTGGGACCTGGTAGTGTCCCATGAAATGCGTAGTTTTGTGTGAATACTGGATTTGGCAGGATCGAGATAACTGCACGTGCAGGGTTATTAAACATTTCAGGCAGTTTAATCAATGGTCATAGTCTTGAGAAAACATAGTAGCTGATGATGAATTCAACTACTGGGACATCATAGCTGTTAAAGATAATAATTACTGTGAAACCTAAACATAAATGCTAATGCTGCAGAGTTTCTTGTACTAGTTGTAGTCTAATTTGCTTCTTTTGGAATGCGTGCAAGGATGGTAATATTTTCCCTTAAATCATGCAGTATACCGAATTAATACTCGTTAAAGACCTTACTGTTTGGGAACATAGTAACCAAGTCTAGTTTTCTAGTAGCATGTTTAATTCTTTTAATTAGGATGTGGTTGGCTTTTGACGTGTTAGTCGTCCCCCTTTTTCTTCTTCTTGTGGAATGCTTTTGTTTGCAATCATGCGTCATCTCTCTTCGATTTTGTTCCAGTTAAATGTTTACTATATGAATATGGATTTGGCGCCATTGAGTCGAGTGCACAGGCAGTGTACCCAACATTTTGTGCACTCCCTCAATGAAGTATTATTTGATACTATGGTACCTTATCACAATACTTACTTGAATGTTATGATTGATTTATGAAACAAGGCTGACAAAATATTCTACAGGTTCGTTTCCTCCCCGTGATTAGAAGCAGCAGCTGCACATTGCCACACTCGTGTTTCGGTGCCGTGAGTTGTTATTGTGGGAAACGCTTGATCAGGTTTGTCTTGCTACTATGTAGGTTTAAGTAGAATCTCCCTGTGATGATTGGAGAGTGTTCTTCTCAATATTGTTTAGCATTGGTTCGACATGATTGCTGTTTATCTTCAGTTTTATGATCGATTAAGCATCAGCTTTGGGAACAGCAAGCGGCAATTAACTCGCTGGATGGCGCGAAAGTGAAACGCCACTCCTTTTGGTTTTGTTTTTTTGGGGGGTGGGGTGGGTGGGGGGGATGCTTTGCTTGATCAGTTTGTCTAGGTCTACAGTTTGCTGTTTTGGGGTGGGATCTCTCTGCCATGATTGGAAAGTGTTCTGCTCATCTACTGTTTAGCATTGCTTGGGAAAGATTATTTATTTTTTAGCTTTAGTTCATAATTTGGCAGTACTGGACTACTAGGGCTGCTAGGGTCTAGATTAAGTATCAACTTTGGGGAAACAGCAGTCAGATATTAACTCGCCCAACAGCGTGTATGCCAAACACTAATCCTTTTGCATGCTGTGAGTTGCTGGAGACATTTTGATCAACTTTGCCTCGCTATTGTAGTTTTTGTATCTAGCTAAAATCTCTCTAGGCTGATTGGAGAGTATGCTGCTCTTTATTGTTTAGCATGGTTTTCGTATTGATTACTGTCTATATTTCTGCAATGGTTGAAACTAGTTAATTTGGACTAGGGACTTAAAGGTACAGATCAAGTATGAACCCCTGAAATAGTAATCAGTCAACCATAAACTCACTCCATGGTCCGAAATGCGGCTTCTTTCAGATTGATTGTTTATTTTTATTCAATTGCACATGGTGGAATTGTGGAAGTGCATATTCGTCAATGACCTTACTACTTGGAATGTAGTAACCGCATCCAGTTTTCTAGTAGCATGTCCAATTCTTTTGATTAGGACGTGGTTGTAAACTAAACATAGCACTTCATGCATGGATTTTGATGTGTTATAGTAGTGCCCTTGTTTTCTTCTGTTTGAATGCTGCTGTACCCAATCATGTGTTATCTCTCTTTGCTTTTGTTTCAATAAAATGTGTTATATGGATATGGATTTGACACCATAGAGACGAGTGCACAGGCAGTGTACTCCACATTTTGTGCACTCCCTCAATGAAGTATTTTAAAATTTGATACGATGGTAGCTTATCACAATACTTATTTGAACGTTATGATTGATTTATGAAACAAGGCTGACACAGTATTTTCTACAGATATGGAGTGCAACAAAGATGAAGCGATCAGATCAAAGGAGATGGCTGAAAGGAAGTACAAGGTGAACGATTTTGCGGGCGCAAGGAAGTTTGCCTTGAAAGCAAAGGGTCTTTTCGATCTTGAGGGCATCGATCAGATGATTGTAGCCTTGGATGTCCACCTAAGGTCACTGAAAAAGTTTGAAGGGGAGAATGACTGGTATGGCATCCTAGAAGTATCAACCTGGGCTGATGAGGAGACTATCAGGAAGCAGTACAAGAAGCTGGCCTTACAAACTCATCCAGACAAGAACAGTTTCGTTGGTGCTGATAGTGCTTTCAATCTCATCTCAGATGCTTGGAATGTATTGTCTGACAAAAACAAGAGAATACTTCATGATCAGAGGAGGCATATGAGCTCTTTACGAGTCCTTCAGAATAACTCCCAAGTAAGTGTTGATAACACTTCCAGTTCATCCATGCCAAGTATGAATGGCTTCTGCAGGCAAAATACTGGTCCAGCCTCACCTCCCAGTGTGCCTACTCCAAATATCCCAAAGCTAAGCACATTTTGGACAGTCTGCATTTCTTGTCGCATGAACTTTGAGTACCCAAGGCAATACGTGAACCAATATATGATATGCCCAGAGTGCCATAAACCTTTTAAGGCTGAAGAAGTTCCTCCTCCGCCTACTTCAAGTCACACCTACCAACCAAAGTCAATGGATACTAATAGTAGTAGGGGTCGCACAGCATGTCCTGGTGAGGGAATGGCAGGAACAGGAGTGGCTAGTGGTAGCCGGAATCATCATAATCCTATGCAGCAGCGGTGCTCTTTTCAGGGATCTGCAGGTGGTGCACACACTTTTTCACATTCAGTGCAACAGACACATGGTACTGTTTCAGGCTCTTCCGGATCATCAATCCCTAGAAAAGCTGCAGCAAGGAAGGAAAAGGAAGCCGCAAAGAAGCGATACAAGAAAGTGGCACCGCAGTCAACAAGCTCTGGCCTTGATGGCGACTCAAGTTCACAGAACAAAGCCAAAAGGAAGGCTCGCTCCACTGACCGGGCATCGGGAGCGAAGAGGCGCAAGGAAACATCTAATTGTCCTGTATCTGCAGGGAGCAGCTTCATCAAGGAGATGGAGAAGTTGGATATGCGAAGCTTACTAATTAACAAGATGAAACTCCAACTTCGGGACAAATTAGAGGAGTTCAACAGGAAGAAGGCTGATATGGAGAATGGACGAAAGATGCAGACTAGTCAGAGAACAAACAAAGCGGCCACATGCAGCACATCAGTTGATGCCAAGAAAATGAAGAGGACACAACGAAGTAGTTCTGTTCATCCAGAAGAAGATAATGGGAAGAAACTGAACAGTGAAAGAAAGAGGGCAGAGAAGAGGAAGCATGCCGGTTCAGAAGAAATGGGGTCATGGGAGTGGAAGAAACCTGAAATACGGATTTTTTACACCAGGAGAAGCCGTAGGGAACAAGAGCCATCTCCCGATGAAATGCTTGTCCCTGATGCAGATTTCTATGCCTTTGGTGATCATTCTGGGAACTCTTTCCAGAAGGATCAAGTGTGGGCCACATATGATGAAGAAGATGGCATGCCTCGCTACTATGCTTTGATCCAGACAGTGCACTCCAGACGCCCTTTTAAGGTTACATTTGCATTCCTCAAGGCGGATAATCCGGACGAGTTTGGGGCTTCAAACTGGCTCTCATGTGGATTCTCCAAGACCTGTGGCGATTTCAAGCCTGGTGCATCCGAAGATGCTGACGAGCTGAATAAATTCTCTCATCTTGTCGCATGTCAGAAAGGTCCAGGTAGAAGAATCATCAGAATTCTTCCACGGAAAGGTGATATCTGGGCCCTGTACCAGAACTGGTCTGCCGACTGGGATGAACTTGTACCTGATGAGACAATGTACAAGTATGACTTGGTGCAGGTTCTTGACAGCTACAGCCCAAGTGAAGGCCTTTCTGTCATGCCCATTGAGAAAGTGCCTGGCTTTGTGTCTGTGTTCAAGCCACTTTCTGACCCAGCAAAGAGCAGGAGGATTCCAGAGGAGGAAATGACGCGGTTTTCGCACCAGGTGCCGTTTCATATCCTTACTGGTGAAGAAGCTCACAATTCCCCCAAGGGATGCTATGAATTGGATCCAGGCTCAACTCCAAAGGAACTTCTTCAAGTAGTCTGATGATGCCACATGCGCTTGTTCTGTGCTCCCGCTTAACTGTTTTTCCTTCTTTCACTTGTTTCAACCTGGAGTTAGTTGGGTGGTACGGTTTGTCTAGTGCTGTACCATATGTTCCCAGGTTGTGCTGGTGACCTGTAGTATACTCCCCATGTATACCCCCATGTTGTGTTATGTAGCAGAATCCTTGTTTAAGGGTAAACGTAGCTGGGTTTTTGAACAATGAAATATACCTGGGTTAAAGTGTTCTTTTGCGGAGAAAAATGTACTCAACTCCCTGAACATGCCTGTTGGACTAGTTAAATATGATATTTCATGGTTTCTTTATGGTTGCAGCCAAGCATGTCGCTGTGTTGTTTCTTGGAATGGACAAGAATGGACAAATTGATCTGGACACTTCTCTTGGCTCAGCTTTTAGGTAAACCATTTTGTCTTACTGCCACTCAAGACATTTGGCTTTGTCAGACCTTTTTAACATGTTACCTTATCAAAGTTTTGTTGCACCTGTGAAAATTCTATGCGTCTATTTAGCCTTATTGACCAAACCAGATGATGATAAGAAATGATTTACTAGGTTTCTAGAACTCTGATCTGACACCTATATTTAGAAACGGAGGGAGTATATATATACCAGATCCCTTTCGTCCCGCACCGCACTATCGCGCCCAAGGAGGATTCAAAAGAGAGCAGCGGCGGCGAGAGGCCCGGTGCTGACCGCAACCCTAGCCCGAATCAGCACCCGCCGGCCGAAGCTTCCGGAGGGTGCTGCTGCGGCCGCCGAGGCCGACGACGAGGCATGGCGCGGCGCCCGTTCACGGCCCTCAGCCAGGCCGCGCCGACCTCCAGGAGCAGGCAAGTTGGCTAGATCTCGCGGCCCCGGCCGTCCCTCCCCGTCCCTAGGGTTCCGAGGTGCATGACTAATATCTCGATGTTTTAATTTTTTTTGAGGGTGCGACTAACATATAACATACCTTTTGGATCGATGCAGGAGAGGGCGTACATGATGCTGCGGATGAACGGAGGCGGCGAGAGCAGCAATTATGGGAGCTCAGAGGCCGGGAGCTACGAGCACGAGCACGAGGAGCTGGAGCACCACCACCGCGTCCACCACCAGGAGCACCCGGGTGGCGTCCATGGTGATAGGGACGATGATCTCAAGGCTGAGGGTGAGGGCTACCTGGAAGAATGAAGGCGAGGACGAGCTCTCCGAGGCTCTGAAGAGGAGGGGTTCGATTAGGATGAGGAGGTGCAGGACGTGGAGCCAGCGCTAGACCCGGCAGAGTACAGGTTGTCACATGGCTTATGGCCCTCGCTGGGATCAGCGATTGTGAGTATGTTTTGTTTTTCATCTCATTTCACATTTCGCGTGGGCTACTGATGTGCAGTTTTGCTTTTGCTTTGTAGGGCGGGCAGAGGAGCATGTTGAGGATCACATAAACGCTGTGCAGGTAGTGGTTTATGTTTCCTTTTCTTGGATGGATTTAATTTTTGTATTTGAAGTTGGAAGTTGGGAGCACTCAAGTTTTGATTAAATGACCTTGGACCGACAACAATGCTTATTTTTTTAATGTGTGTGACATACAGTATAGTAGGAGTACTTGTTTATTTTAATTGAAGCAGTTGCATAATTTCTTGGCAGAGCTAAATTATTCTCTGATATAGCAATCAAAGCCAAAAACAACTTATGATGTAGATAGTATGCTATAAGCGGTAACATTTAACTCCTGCCATGTTTTCTCCGGGGATTGTGGCATGCATCTCCAATTCGTCTAATTTATGCGCGGAGAACTTTATCTTTGTTCGAATTGTGGTATCGTGTTTTTGCTTACTTATTGAAACCAGCCAAATTTGACAGAGTACCTGGCATTTACAAATCGGCATGTTACTGAAGAAACACATGATTCATGGCAAGGTTTATCCAGATGAATACTCTTATGAGGCAAGTTATTTTTGCTTTATTCCCTTTGGTGCACGGGCTTGCATCTGAAGTTCCAAGATGCAATGCTAATGGTTCTAGATTTCTAGTCATGATTTCAGGAATTAGTTGCATTGGGTGAAGTGGTTGGTACAGAAAGTAGAGGTCTCTCTGCTGATACACTTGCTTCCTTAGCTTCAGTAATCTACAACACAAAAGATATGGAAGATGGCAACACAGAACAGTACGTTCAAATACTTTTAAGTTTCAATATCCTTACAGTAATATATATGATTAAAGTGGCATGCTAACGTGTAATTATTGTTGGTAGACGTGTAATTTGTCGCAGGGAATTTGAGAAAGGTGAATCCTTGGTTGCACTTCCGTACAAGCATTCATACCATCCTGACTGCATTATTCAGTGGCGTCAAATAAATAAGGTACAATGCCACTTTCAACCTAGTTATTGTTAAAACATATAGTTCCCCATAGATGAGGATTGCCTATGTTTTCATGGTATGAAGCATATCAGGCAATCACACCTGCGCGATGGAAAATGTAGGGTTCCTTTGTACCTCTACTATACAACCACACGTCTATGCTTATTAATCAAGTCACCTGAATAGAAAATGTAGGGTTCCTTTGTACCTGCGCACCACTTCTTTTTTTACATATTTTAGTATTTGTATTTTTAGATGTCTTGGGTCTCTAGAACTCAGGTTTGGTGATAGTATTTTTGTTTAGGGTTTTATATACTAGGCTATTGGTATTCCTTGTAGAATTTTTGCACCTCCAACAGTGTATGTAAAAATGGGCATTTCTAAAAATTAATTGAAAGTGCTTAATGTAATTTGTCCATAGATGTTTCAGCAGCATACATATATGGTGAGTATTTACACGTTGTCTTGTGTGCAATTATCTATATGTCATGACCATTTACTTTTCACTCTAAATGATCATGACCAGTTACTTTTGTGTTAGAAATTTTTTATTCAAATTCAAGTTAAATTGAAAGCTTCTGATCTTGCTAACATGTGTGTGTGAATTCATACTAATGCTCAAAGTTTAGGTTCTAACACCCAGTTAATGCTGAAAATTAGGGTGTAATGATTGTGATGTCTCATGAGACTTGAATATACCATATATGGAAGTCCCATTTTATATTATTGCACATATAGTATAGAGAAGTAGAAATATGCAAATCGACGAGCATTTAACTTATGTAGTGTTGTGTACAAGAAATCAACGTTTACTCCTACCTTATTTCTACCTGTATATACTGATGTTGTTTATCTCCTGCTGAGCTGGTTGTAACCTTGTTTCTGTATGGTGTCCTCTTAGTGGGTAATCCCATGTGAGTTATACAGGCTGTTGCTGCCATGTTTTTCAAATGTACAAATTGGTCATCATCATCTCTTCATGATTCACGAGCTTTCAGGTAAAGCATCTTGTCTGACTGCCGCAGCAGGCCATTGTTGCGCCTGATAAAATCTTGTGTGATGTTGATTTGCTTCGGGGGCAGTTCTTCTGCTTAGGTTTCTGGTTACTACAGACATATTTCAGTAGGGACCTAGGTGTTTTGCAGGTTACTCTGGCATACTCTGGCAGCATTTCGATTGATAACAGGCTACTTTGTAAATAAAACATGCAATAAAGTTTTTCTATCGTTACAGATCTGGACGCAGCTGGCCTCCTCAACCTGTAGCTGCATGCATTCATGCACTACACGCACGCCGTCTCCAAGGCTCCAACCTCGCTCGGCAAAGCATGGCCAAGCAAGCAGAGGTAACGTAGCACTCACCACCAAACGCTTCCGCGGGAGAGTCTCATGGTCCCGCAGGTTTATACTTTTTAGAGATCGAGAGAGTGAGAGATGCCGGCCAGTACATGGAGGACCCATCCAATGAGTCGATCGGACGCCCATCATGCGGCATCCTCAACCTCTAGCTCCTTAATGGCTACCAGACGCCCATCTGGCTGCATCCGGCCAGTACATGAAGATACCGATCGATCTTTGTAACTTCTACTATTGTCCCTATTAATTGGTATCAATTGGTATATCTTTGCAATTTTTGCTGGCTCCAATGGGTAGATCTGAGTAATTTTTGTGAACGTTCCTGGTTTTGTGTCTGTGTTCAAGCCACTTTTAGTTGTTGTGAAAATTCCTGGTATTGTGTCTGTGTTGAAGCCACTTTCCGACCCAGCAAAGAGCAGGAGGATTCCGACAGAGTAAATGATGTGTTTTTCGCACCAGGTGCCATTTCATATCCAGAACTCCCCCAAGGTATGCTATGAATTGGATCCAGCCTCAACTTCAAAGGAACTTCTCCAAGTAGTTCCAATTTGATGATACCACAAATGCTTGCTCTGACTTCTGTCCTTTCCTCCCCGCCCACCTTTCTTTTGTGGAGCATGAAGAAGGTAACACTCATCGGTCGTCTATCTCTATCCCTCTCCTTCCATAGCTGGCCAACAATAAGTGCTCCCAATTAATGAGCATCCCTTCCAAAGATTTTCTTCACACGAAATGGTGTAATGGAACATTAATCCAGGACAGTTGTGGCCGCGGGGAGGATCTCGAAGCTGTAGGCATAAGATCGAATGGGTAGGCCGCGGAGATGAGACGGCACACACGGCCTGCAGGAGACCAGCGTGGCAGCTTGTCTGAGGGGATGTTGCCCAGGCGATGGGGCTCGAGGGACAAACAAACTCATCGGGATGGCTTGCGGTGGGCCGGGCTTTGTGCACTACTGGTCTTAGGAAGTACAATGGTGGTTCCACGCGCAAAAAATAAAAGGGGTGTACCATATGTACCCAGGTTGTGCTGGTGACCTGTAGTATACTCCCCATGTATACCCCTATGTTGTGTTATGTAGCAGCATCCTTGTTTAAGGGTAAACGCTGGGTTTTTGAACAATGAAATATACCTGGGTCAAATTGTTCTTTTGCAGAGAAAAATGTACTCAACTCCCTGAACATGCCTGGGTCAAATTGTTCTTTTGCAGAGAAAAATGTACTCAACTCCCTGAACATGCCGATTGGACTAGTTAAATATGATATTTCATGGTTTCTTTATGGTTGCAGCCAAGCATGTCGCTATAGTGTTTCTTGGAATGGACAAATTGAGCGCTATAGTGTTTCTTGGAATGGACAAATTGATCTAGACACTTCTCTTGGCCCAACTTTCAGGTAAATCATTTTGTCTTGCTGGCACTCAAGACATTTGGCTTTGTTAGACCTTTTTAACATGTTACCTTATCAAAATTTTGTTGCACATGTGAAAATTCTATGCGTCTATTTAGCCTTATTGATCAAACCAGATAATGATAAGAAATGAACTACTAGGTTTCTAGAACTCTGATCTGACACACCTATATTTAGAAATGGAGGGAGTATATATATACCAGATCCCTTTCGTCCCGCACTGCACTATCGCGCCCAAGGAGGATTCAAAAGGGAGCAGCGGCGGCGAGAGGTCCTGCGCCGATCGCAACCCTAGCCCAAGCACATGCCGGTTGACGCTTCCGGAGGAAGCCGCTGCGAGCCTGCGACGTCCGAGGCCGACGGCGATGCGCGGTGCGGCACTCGTTTACGGCCCTCAGCTAGGTCAACGCCGAAATCTAGGAGCAGGCAAGTTGGCTAGATCTCGTGGCCCTGGCTGTCCCGTCCCCGTCCCTGGGGTTCCGAGGTGCGCGACTGATATCCCGATGTTCTAATTTTTTTGAGGGTGCGACCAACATATAACATCCCTTTTGGATAGATGCAGGAGAGGACGTACATGATGTTGCGGATGAATGGAGTCGGCGAGTGCAGCGATTATGGGAGCTCAGAGGACGGGAGCTACGAGCATGAGCATGAGGAGGAGCCGAAGCACCACCACCGCGTCCACCTCCAGGAGCACCCAGGTGGTGTCCATGGTGATGGGGATGATGATCTCAAGGCTGAGGGTGAGGGCTACTTGCAAGGATGAAGGCGAGGACGAGCTCTCCGAGGCTTTGGAGAGGAGGAGTTCGATTAGGATGACGAGGTGCAGGACGTGGAGCCAGCACTAGACCCTGCAGAGTACAGGTTGTCACATGGCTTATGCCCCTCGCTGGGATCAACGATTGTGAGTATGTTTTGTTTTTCAGCTCATTTCACATTTCGCGTGGGTTGCTGTTGTGCCGCCTTACTTCTGCTTTGTAGGGCGGGCAGAGGAGCATGTTGATTATCACATAAATGCTGCGCAGGTAGTGATTTATGTTTCCTTTTCTTGGATGGATTTATTTTTTGTA